TGTTGGAATGTTTCATCCTCATGTATAATAAGACATGTCATTTTCCACTAACTCCAATCATTGAACATTACAGCCTGACAAACCCCCAATCATCACACAGTATGAATATGAATTGGTTGTCTGTCATCTCAAGTTTAATGATTAAAGATTCCAGTGACATGTCAGTGCACCAAATATAAAGACCATTAATTTCCAGTTTGTCAGTTGCTATTCTTCATAGCCATTACTCTATTATGGAATTTGACAAATTTTAATAGAAATGACTGATTGGAGGTGGGAGAGAGGCGGCCAAGGTCCGTCAGAGAAGTATATTTGTCTTGGAACAAAGGGACTTGTCAGTGAGTCATATTGAGATCTTGGCGACATTTCCATTCATGCATTTCTTGCAAAAACGAGTCTGTGACCAGCTCTAAAAAGATTAATTCAAACGCAACTGGTGGGAAGATCCGTTGAATATTTGTCAAACAGGTACATTTTCCCCCACAATGCATCTCTCTTTTCTCTCTCAAGAATGCAATTTTAAAATAATATCTAACATCCCAAAACTGCAGAGAAAATGTTCATAGCCAAAGTCAGCCTTCAGAGCTTTCATCGCAAGCAAAAATTAGGGCCACCTGAAAAGCAGCAGGTAAAACTGAGTATTCAAGAGGGTCGCACTTTTATTGTTGTTGCTCCTCGACATTGGAAAAGCCTCACGCAGGGAAGCCAAATCTGTGCCCAAGCATCTTTATATTCCCTTGTTTTCGTTCTGCTTTTCTGTCTGTAAGAAAAGTGGAAAGTCAAGTGTGTTATTTTTTTCCAATTCCATACACTGTACCATCCATAAATGTATAATAGTTTGCTCTCAAAATAAGATCCAGTGGGTATAAGGGAAATAAAAAATACCTACTGTAGCACATCGCAGGTCTGTACTTTCACATATGGATGCAGGATTTCAACCTGTAATTGATTATTTTTACACTGTTTACTGTCACTCAAGTAAAGGAGCTAAATACTTCTTTCTCTACAGGAAATAACTGATATAACTCTCTGTGTGTGTGCTGGAGTGAATCTATAATGTATGGTATCTTGGTTTACACTGTCGTGGCTGCATGCTACAGAACAGCAGAGTCAGTAAAGACAGTGCCTCCTCTCAGATTGGGATGTGTACTGAACTGCTACTTAACCGCCACTGAGCTGCTGGAATCGCTGGAGGACCACTGGAGAAACGATTACTCAGACACCAGTGGGCTGCTGGCTGCTCCCACTGGCAAAGCAATCACTGTGTTATTTGGGAGAGAATGAATTACTGAACATTTTGAGATTAGACAGCTTAATCCCCAAATGAATGCCTCGGGGTGTTAATAGAGATTATACCAACATTTGTGTCTTGTAGTATTCTCTATCACCTGTCATTCCATGTTTTTTTAATGTGTCTCATATTATGGATTTTATAAGACTGTGGAAGCAGGAATTGTTTTCTTATAACACTCCCCACAGTGGCAGCAGAGAAAGCATTATCCTCTCCTTTGTAGTTGATCCAATTCTGTGCCTTCACACATCTCCTGTGGCCGTGTTTGATTTGCTGTGGCCCTGACCATAGCTCAGCACTCGGTGGTGTCATCCCCGATTACCAAGAAGCACAGATCTCTGCAGAACCAAGAAGTGGGCAAAACACACACACACACACACACACACACACACACACACACACAAAAAAGCAGCAGAAATCATAATGGGTAAGCACTGTTGAAATAAAGGCTGCAGAGGATATGAGAATCCATGTTCAAAGAGGTGATTCTTGCAATATGAATCAGTGGGAAAAGGCCCTACAGGGATTTCCATCAGACCTTGATACCAGGTTGAAGATGGAGCTTGCACCAGCTCCTTTTATCTAGCCTGAGATTGGTGATTAGATTGAAGAGCCCAGCAGAGGAAACACAAGTCCTCTCCTCCAGACTGAGAGCAAAAGCAATGTTCCACAAGACTACACATTCATTACTCAAAATAAATCTCCATTAAACAAATGCCATATGCATAATTAGGCTATAGGAATAATTATAATTGTGATTCGTTTCTCCATGAGCAGACCTATGTAAATTGTGATTGACACCCGGCGAAAAAAGAGTGCATAAATCTGGTTACAGAGATACACGGACACACACTGCAGCACAATAACAAGAATCAGAATACAGAGGCGACAGGGATTTAGGGCATGGGTGGCTGTAAACATGCCACCACCACAGTCATAATCCAAGCTATACAAACAAGACAACCACTGTATGTTTATTGTATAAGGGATAAAGAGTCAAAGAACACCTGGACCTACTAATACAGTCTAATTCAACAGTCCCGCAATAAATCGTGCTTTGATGTAGGTTATATCCAGTTTTTGTTGAAGCTGTTTGTATTCTCCTATTCATATGAATAGCCCAACAACAAAACACAAAGGAACAAAACAGTGGTTGATAAAAACAGATTATGTTGGTGAGACTTAGACAAGACTCAAGCTGTGTCCCAATTTCACACCACATACAGGACTGTACATACAAAGCTCAAACAGCCAGCCCTCCATCCTACCTCCCTCCGGCCTGCGATCCAGCCTGTAAGAACCTGCTACCCCTTCATATACAAATAAAAGAAGAACACAATTCTATTTTAAAAATGTATTTCGATTGGTGCATACACTGTGTTCCAAATTATTATGCAGATACTGTTTGTGTTCTTTTTCTTACTAAATAGTTGATATAATTGGCAGTCAATAGGATTTTTTATTCCTCAACAATTATGTCGTAATCTGGATTTATCAAACACAATTACCGATTAATGATGACAATGGCATTTTTTTCGCAAAAAATAACTGAAAATGCAGTGTTCCAAATTATTATGCAAAACAGAGTTTCAAAACACTCAATAGTTTCTAAAGGATTGAAAACCAAAATCTGTTGTATTTTTTGCATTAGAGGGGGTAGTTTTTCTTAAATCAAAGCGATTTCATCATCTTTCCTCCATTGAACTTGTCCATGTACAGTTTCTGCCTGGATTTCCTTTGAGGATGCCAGAGTTGCCTCCCAGAGCTGGACCATCCAGTGTAGCACGGCATACATCAGTGAATAAAACTGTTAGACAGTTAGTCTTTCACCCCCACCCCTTGTAGCTTTTTACATCTCATTGGACCATCCAGTGTAGACGAAAGGAAAAAAATTTAGAATTTTTTTTCTGAACCCACTGCAATCATGTCTCCTTGTGGGCATTGTTTAAGGGTGGCCGAAATACAGCTTTATGCACATCAGCAAGCCTCTGGAGGATCTTGCGTCGAGAGGATCCTGGGACTCCAGAGGCACCAGCAACTTCAAATACCTTTTTTACTACTCATCAGTGGCTTTTTCACAGCTGCTCACTTAATACGATGAATTAGCCTTACAGAAACTTTCCTTAACACGCCTTTACCTGAACAAACCCGCCTGCGCTCTGAATCAGACACAAATCTTTTCATAGGACGATGATCTCTCTTAATATTATGTAAAATATCCAGTGGTTTCATATCTATTGAAAGATACTGCACTATTTCACGCTTTTCTGTGACTTGCCCAATAATGTGGAACAACATCCTTAAGTAGTTTCCCATTAATTAGGCTCATCTGGCAAACTAATAAAGACAAACCTGTCTGAGTTTGATGTCAGTGATCTAAACAGACATGGGAAGCAGCACAATTGAAAACTTTCATTGAAAAACAAAAAATCTAATGTTTTTTTAATTGAAATCATATTTGCATAATAATTTGGAACACAGCGTAATAATGGCAAATGTGAGCAAGGCTTGAGCAAAGGATTGAAAAGAAGAGAGCAGGTCTCGGGCCATCATTTGGAGTTTGCCTGCCAACAACAAAGATGATATAAAAATGTATTGTAACTGTTGTTTGCAGTATGATGTCTGTAGTGCTTTCTTGTAGAACTTGAATGTTGAAATATATATAATATCAGCAGTGGCCCTAAGCCAATTTCAGTTTGAAACTCCTGTTTTATAGTGTTTTGTTTTGCAGTTAGTATACAAGAAATGTATGATGGCAGAGGGAAACATTTATTAAAAAGTGACAAATTAATTTCAACAATTAAGCATTATAACTTTCATAAAAGTAGGCTTTATTTCAGGGCTGTTGTATTAGACTGCATTAGTTATAGCTACTGACAATAATCTGACAACTGAGTGTAAATATGAACTATAATCTGCCAAGAGATGGTAGAAATTCACAGGCACATTGTGGCGTAAACGTGGGCAATACGTTGGCCTTGTATTAAAGGAGCCACCATTCTTATTGTACACCACTGATGCAACAGGACAGACTTTAGCAGCGGGCTTTGATGATACGTTTCATTTATACAAACAGAAGTCAATAAGTCACCTGGCACAGAGGTCCCAGTCTAGCCCTTCAAAAGGAAGCGATTATAGCCAGAGCCTTGATCTGTCCCCACTGCCCCGGGATCCCACTGGCAGGGCAGTCCTGATATTTGTGTGGAGATGCTGAAGCCAATTATTGCCAGTCTGCAGCTGCTGTGGATTCCACTTGATGTGCACCTTTCATCTCCAAAAGCCATCTCTTAGGGAAACAATAAGCTGTTCTCCCCATCCTTTTGAACTCACCAGGTGGGGGCAGCAGTGCTGATATGAACTGAACAGGTGACTCGAGGGTGGGTTGCGTATTGCTTTTTTTTTTTTTCTTCGCACACACAGTGCAGCTGGTCTGTCAATACATATGATAAAACCCGTGTCAGCAGGTTTAATGCATATGCAAAAAGCCCAGACAGGTTGTGTGGGGCTTCTTTTACATTTTAATGGAAACGCTGGGAATGACAGATAAAGCCATTAATAGAAAATGGAAGGAAAAAATGTCCATGCCTCCACAACCACACACCAAAGGAGACATTTTCAGGCTCGAGGATCCAGACCTGCCCTTTGGAAGACAATCAGACCCACTTGGCTTCACACAACCGAGGTATTAAAAGACCACAAGATAAACAGGTATGATATGTTCACATTTATTGTGCAGTGACTTTTATATACATACATTTTATACACCTAATTTACATGAACAGAAATAAATTAATCTGCTAATGTTCTTTAACTCGTCTGGCTTTAGTGTTGCCACTGACTGGACACATCAAACTTTGAAGGAGAATAAGCAAAATAGTTCCAAGTGACACATGAGTGACAAGGCAGTAACATGAGTCAATGTAGTCTAATTTTCATTAGTGTTATATTTTACACATATAAAGAAGCAGTTGGTAAGAGTTTTAGTGTTTGATAACTTCTAAAATGTTAAAAATCTAAATCTATAGGAATCTATGAATCAAAGTTTGAGAAAGGCCAGTCATCACAAAGCACTGCTTTGCTTTCAAAATCGGCTGACAAGGTCGTTCAATGAGGTCAGACAGCAGAACAGACTCCACGACAGCTTTAGAGTTGGAAATCTGTCTGAAACAGTGTCACACTTCTCTATAATCACATGGGATTCATTTCTAATCCATTTGTTTCAAACATTATATATTTTTGTGGCTATATATTTTACAAGTGCCAAACTTCTTTCAGCACTCTTTTGAGGACACGTCAGATTTCAGCTTTTTGCAATGTAGAAAAAATATCAAAGATGAGACATCTAGAAAGTTAAAAGATAAAAACAAATTCTGAAGTAGTGAACAACTCAATGCAGCTAAATGAGACCAGAGACCATTCTGCACCAGTTATATGACATGAAGTCTCACTTTTTAGTATCACCATGATATAGTCAATCACGCTTTATGTGTATTTCTTGTTTTTGTAAATACAAAGTTGTATTTGTTATACGTGTATACATTCCTTTTTACAATATTTAATTGTAATTTTACTGAATAACAATCATTGCTCTAAAATAATCTTTAATTTCTAAGAAGACACATTCTGATGTGGTTCTGTCTTTTTATGTAGACATATTTGTATCTTTATGCAGTGGAGTCAGATAGCCTGAGGATACTCTTAAGTAGCTACCAATGTCTCCAAACAAATGCCCTGCAGAGGTCAAAAAAATCTTACAAACTGCATCTTTAATATTAGAGATGACTATTACTATTGTGCTACATACAGTATTGATCACTGACAGACACAAAGATAAAATTCAACTTGGCTAATTAGTGTGTTCTTTATAAAAAGTAAATCTAACGAGCTAATGTGAAAAGCATCTTAAATTGTGTACATTGTAGTGTGTGAAAACAATAAAAAATACATTAAGTGGAGTGGCCGGGGCCCACACATCTCAAAATGTGGCCATGGAAAGAAAAAGAAAATAAAAAACACTGGAGAATGTATCTCTAGGTTTCCCATATACACAAACTGTAAATACAAACATTAACCTGCTCTCATCTTTTCAGTCTGAAGTAACTGACAGGAAGTCTAACTTTCTACTGCTAGCTTATGATAAACACTGACACTAACTAGAGTGACATGCCTATGAAACACGAAACAACACATCAACTCCAGCCTCCTCTTACCATACAGAAACACAGTAAGAATTTACAGGATACATTGATGGGTCTTAAGCACTAAACCGCTGCAAGCAGCAAGAACTCTAAGCTATCAAAACATGCAGCTTGTGGTGAGTTTCTACAGTACTATTCAGTAGTTGTTGGTGGTAAACGGCTGTGTGAAAACCCAGAGTTTGTATTTTTTATTACTATTATTTCTATCACACAATAATGATTTTTAACATGGCTCTGTTGTTCCATTAGCCTCGCACTCATCTAGCCAGACTCTCTCATTAAAGTGAACAAATAATCACATGGCAGCCATCGTATCACCACACCATACAGGAACATCTGATTATTGCACACTAGCACTGAACTTGCAAATGTTCATGCAGAATGTATGAGAAACACACTACACTCAAATCAGTGGTTGCTCACTATGTGACAGATGACCATACAGTTCTTTGGAAGACTACATTGTTCGGGAGGGTCGGGGACATATAACTACGTGGCACACTACTGAGACGCCTACAGCGCTTGTATTACAACCTAAGGTGGTAGAGAGAGGGGTGCAATGATGTTTTAGAAAATCAATATTAGGATACTTGACACCAACGACTGTGTTACAGTACCTTTGTTAAAAGTAGAAAAAGAGGAGCGTTAGAGATGAGAATTGCACCGAGGAAAATAAGGGAACGAGACCATTTCTGTGAGAGGATCTAGCAACGTCTTTTTCAAGCAAATTCTAGCGTCTGCATGTAAAATATATTACATCCATATCCAACATTCATAGCATTTGTTTCTGTTAAAACACAAAAATAGTTAAGACTCACAGAAAGAATCCCAGCAAAGACAATACAGATGCCAGGGATTCATCTGTTTAAAGATGGGAGTTTAAAATTGTTGTATAAAGTAACAGCCAAAACAAAAAAGGAAATATATGCAATCTTTTCAGACACACATTTTCCCCACAAACTACTCCACACACTAGACTAGTGACTAGACAAGTGAAATGGTCGTAAGGCGAAACTGTGGCCGAAGGATGATAGGAGGAGGAGGAGGAGGAGGAGTGAGATTGAGAAAGGGGCTGTGATGATGGACCTTGTGTTTAATGGACTGTGGATCATCTTCATTCCAACTCAGGGGGATTGGGAGCCTGACCTGTAGCTCTTAAAGCTGCCTAGCAGACTCTGCACCCCCTTTTTGACCCGTCGAGCCACCGAGTCAGCAGGAGGAGTGGGCAGGCAGGAGGCTAGACTGGGCGGACGTGCATCCAAACATTTCTGGTAGCGAAGCTATGAAATGAAAACATGCGTTAGAAATGGTGTTTACAGACGCAAAACTCAAACACTTGCGCATATAAAAAAGGTCCAGCGTGGATAGATAGATATCATGTATTTGTTTACGACTCACCATGCAGGCAGCCTGTACAGCCTCACTCAGACTGGCAGCGTTGGGTTCGCACCAGAACATGTGGCAGGTGAAATCTTGGGGACCCTCTGCCATGATGAAAGCGAAGGTGTGGACGTCCTTCCCCACACCCATGAAAGACAGGAAGCGCACCCTGCACTCTGACAGCACCTCCTCATTCTGGGGTTAGAAATAAAAATGTCAATACAATATTTAAAAGTATAACTGAAATACTGAATAGTTCAATTTATATTCACAAATCTTAAAAAAAAAGGAAAAGGACAAACTAAATAGTCTTTTTGTACTTTTATCATCACAATGAAACTCTAGCCCTTCAATTAAAATCACCATATCACCTTCTCGTGTGTCTATGTCATGTTCAGTTTGTTGTCTGTTACCTGTTTTGAGAGTATTGTAAGGGTGGCCGGTGCGACATTCACAGACACAGGAGTCCACTCATTTTTATCTTTGCGATTCACTGCTGCCTCTAGTTGGTCATTGATTATATCCATACCTGAGAAGAGAAATACACACAGAAAACATGAGGCAATACATCAACCTTACTATAGAAAAATCTTTAAAAAAATGTTTAAATAAACTATTTCATACTTGAAGGTGTTTTCTTACCAACTGGCTTAGCCACAGCCTCACAACCAAGATAATAAACATGGAAGTGCTGGAAGAGTTCATTTTTTGGAGCAGGAAACTCTGTAAGGAAAGGAGGAAATATTAAGTGACTGTATCCACACTTTATATATATAGGATATAAAAAGTGTGGAAGATCCTAAAGGTACTTCAGCTTTACCTTCAACAGGGATGACCACAGGGTTATTCGGGTCAGAGTTGAGCCTGCTCACCCCTGGTTTGGTTGCCTTTCTCTCCATCATTATCTTCAGTCAAATCATGAGAAGAAAACAGAAATAGAATTTCAAGTAAGAAATCCATGGTCGACTATGAGCCAAGAAACTGCACCAAATTAACAGTGAAACTAAATTAAATCAAACAGTAGCTGACCTTTGAGCACATCTCATGTAAGCTGGTGGCTATGTTCTTGGCAGGTGAGTCACAGCGGAAAACATGACACTTCAGTACTTGGGTCAGGTTGTCTCGAGCCACATAAGCAAAATCCCTGCAGGTGAAATTAGATGGAAAAAGCCACATTCACATATTAGCACAGCATAACTGTGTGAGCCAATTTGAAAAATTATATGCTTAAGTGCAAATAAAGCAGTAGGCATATAGGTTAAGAACAGCACAAAACAATAATTTTATAGAACTTTTAAAATAATAATCATTGATGTATACCTTTCCCTGTTCATGATGGAAAATGCAGCATGAAAGAAAAAACACGATTGTTAGAATTCAGTGAGACAAGAAGCAGGCAGAAACAGTCAGGGTTATCTTTATCTGCAATGTTCTCAACTATCCAGCAGAGGGCAGCAGCATACAATTAAAAAAAAAAGAGCACACACACACAAGAGTACTATGTGCTCCTCATGACAGATTTCCTAAGGAACACCAAGGCTCTGAGTCATAAATGAGTAATGACTTCAGGAGGCTGTACATTATTTTAAAGGGGAATCAACCGCTTCATGCAGACTGAACAGGATAATGGCAGAACGTCCAAATGAGTGAGAACAGGGTTGTCTGTCATAAGTCAGTAAGAATATCTAACACTGTAAATTAATAATAATGCAACTACTACAAGGAAAAGTCACAGGTCGGTTAATTGTGAGCAAAATTTAGAGATTTTTTGAAAGTGAGCTCACTAGAAACATGTTTTACAATCACAAAAGAAATACAACTGACCAATGATCAAACAAAGTCTTTCTAAAGCATGGCTTGTTTAAAGCAAATCTAATAAGTTAGATAAATAAATCATGCAGTTCTGCCATCTTCATTTTGGCTTTGTAATGTGGATACTGACCGCCCGTTGTCTCTGCCAACACCCCAAACACGGATGCTGCCAATTGGCTGAGCATGAAGCAGAGTCTGGCCCAGTGGGTCGATCAAGTTCATAGTGTCGTTCTTCAGGACCATCAGCATGTCCTTACCCTGTTGAGACACATACTCTTAGTATGAGCAGCGTGGCTTAAAAACAATTCACCTATCACAGTAATTTGTGTGCTATTAAGTTAAGATATTTATGCATGTATTAGTACACAGTAGGGGTGCACGATAATAATCGGGGCGATAACAGGAAATTATTACGTCATTCCGATAAGTCCGATATCATGACGAATAACCCCGATAACATATAGAATTTTGTCAGCACGGCAGTGCCCCGCTCTCACTATGAGACCTGAATGGCCTGCAGTGAATGCTGCATTCAAGTGACGTTGGCATAATCAGAAAAACTCTTTCTGACTGGGAAAATTCAAGAATACTCCCTCATGTCGGATAAGAACTCGGTCATAATTTTGGTAGTTGCTGACTTGAATTGATATCCACAGTATTTTTCCACGTTACACATAAACAATAGAAACATGAACTTAAAAAGGCCGAAAGAACGACTAGCAAACGTGGGAACAGGGAATTTCTGTCACACCGTGAATGCAGCACAGCGTGCTTACGTTTGAAAACAGACAACATGGTGTCGATTGTGTGGGACTTTTTCAAAGTTTCTGAAGAAGACAGGTCGCTTGTTATTTGTAACAAATGTTCCAAGCAAGTTCCATGAGGAGGTAAAAGTAGCACGAGCTTCAATACATCAAACCTGATAAGTCACCTGAAACATAGCCATCGCTTCGACGGAGTTTTGAAAGCATATGAGGACGCCCGGGCTACTAAAGACGCTAGCAACTTAAAGCCAGCCGCAAAGAAGCCACAGGGACTTCACACATCGGTGAGGCTTTCAAAAAATCAAAGAAATTTGCCAGAAATAATCCCGATGCATGTATTTGAATCAGTTCAAGGGGCCTTTATTTTTTTTGAGAGGCTTGCCAATAGTTTTTCATTGGAAAAAATAAATATCTCCATTTAAAGCGTCAAAAGTGTTTTTGGGTTTGTTCATAGTATTAATGTCATGATCATAGGTCATGATCATATATATGTATATGTGTGTGTGTTATCGGTATCGGCCTTTAGGAGCTGAAAGTTATCGGTATCGTTTTTTTTAAAAAGCTATCATGCATCCCTAGTACACAGCCATAGAAACGTTTCTGAACAGCTTTAATGTACCTAAAAATACATTCACATCTTCTCGATGGCAGTAGTAATGTGATTTTGACAAATAAACAGCATTTTCAAATGTATCTACATTAAAGTGGACATTACAGGAATTGTTACAGGAAAGATGTCTGAGTCTCCTCACCTCTCCCCAGATACCAGCGGTGTCATGAAGGTTGTGTTTGTGATAAGAGAGCTGCCTGATGCAGTTGTTGACCGCAACACTGCTCTTGCCCGGTGCCATGTCCTCCTCAGACATCTCAACCCAGCCCAGAGAACGCACTGCAAAACACTGACAGAACAAAGATGCAGCACCACATTAGCACAAAAGAAGACTGCACAGGGAAGGTGAACAACAATAAGTATTGGGTCCTCTATGATCTGGACCGGGACACACCGTTGCTGCACTGCTGCATCTCACACGCCTGTGGTGTCCGCACACAGAGGGTTTCTGCTGCTGCCAGCCCTGTCTTTCTACACTGAGTTTGCCTTTGACAAATACAATTCAATGAAAGCCTTGATAACAAATGGATGCTGACCACAGAAAAGCTAGAGGGCTTTTAATCTGAAACTGATACACAAGGTGTTAAGTTAAAAACTATATATTTTTTACTGTCTGTGACACATTCTACAGATATAAACATTGAAACTGTAATGAAAAGGTGTATATGTTGCTGGTATAATGTTGACTTGAGACACGTTGCTCAAGCAGGCAGTGTTGCTCTAACTTGTTATTATGGGTATTGAAATAAAAGAAAGCAGCAGGCAGTATTTCCCAGCTGTTAATGCTACTTATTTCCCTCCTTTGATGCTCATTTAGCTGTATTGGTTACTCCATATGTGAAAACAAATCTTACAACAATAAAAAAACGTCATCATTTACTACTCAACGTGTCCAAAGAAGTATAAAAATGCCAATTGAAATACACTTATCCATATGTCCAAGTTGGAGAAAATAACGAATACTAACACATTTGGAAAAACATTTAAGGTATTCTCAATGTTTTAGTTTTCAGCCACTGTGCAGCGTCATGGATCAGTCTTTTGTCTCAGTAACAATAACAGTATTCTTGACACATCTTGGTTTTAAGACCCTAATTAACTCTCAACACAGTGGATAAATCCAAGATAAAACACTGATTTACCTTAGTTTCTAAATCTGTGCAGAGTGGAGCGAGCTTCTCTTCTTCCTCAGACTGGGAGCAATTGTAACTGCAATGACAAGAGAGAGAAAGAGATCAGGATAAGCTACATTAAGAGAATAAGAACAGATGTACTAAATACTAACTACTAACTCATAAAAAAGCTTTAACTGCACATACTTCAGGTTGATGGATGCATAGCGTAGAGTTGCTCCTTCAAACTCCTTCAGACTTTGGTCAGATGCAACCTCTCCCTCCTCCTGAAGAAACAGAACACAGTTAACAGTGGAAATTTAAACTTATCCCAATCAAAGGTTGTTAACTTGACAGACAACATTTACTTCTTCTAATATTATATATTATTATAATAATGATTTTCAGCATCGGGAGAGCGAGGTATTTAAAGTTATATCCATTCAGTGAACGATTAATATAGCTGAGTGAATATGCTCAGAATGAATCCAGAACGACTTATTGTCGCCAAAATGTGAAAATATTTACAAACTCATCTGCCATGTATTTTGAGCACACTCAATTACATTCCTGCCACGACTTACCCTCCACAGTTCCCCTTCACCAACTCCTTCATCTGTGCTGGAAAGCTGAGCCCAGGATTCCTGGCAAATATAACAGAAGATATTAGACTCTACATATTTACATGCCATTGCTTCTATGCAAGCAAAATGCATGTTAGACCTCACCTCATGCTCCTCACAGGGTGTAGTCTCAAGGGACATAGTCGAGGACATCATGGAGTCACCAACTTTACCCAGGGGTGAAGGAGGCTCCCACTGGGTGGTACCTGTGGGGATGTGCCAGTAGTATGTGCCCGATGTATCTCGCACCCTCATCCATCCTGAAGGCAGGTCTGTGTCTGTCTCAAAAGCACTGGAATCCCAAAAGGACTCTGAAAGGCAGAAGGCAAAGTGGAAACAGAGGAAAGGACAAATGTTTAATTTCTGTTTGAAAAAGAAAAAAACAACACTCTGACCATGTAGGAAGGAAAAAAAAGGGACAAAACAAAGATTCTGCAAAATGTCAATGTCAACAACAGACAATGGGATTAGATTATGACTACAGTTAACTTCATTGCTATATTTAACTACTATACGTCTCTATATACTTTAACAGTACTGAATACGGATTTATTTTTAAAACAGACTGCACTGGCATCACCACCTGACTACTAATACACAAGATTTAGTGTTTCATCCCACTCCACCACACAGATCAATATAATAACAATAAAATGAATTAGAAAACATTCCAGATTTAGCTTGAATTAGTTTTAAGATTATTCAATGTAGTCAAGGGCCTTGGGCTCATTCTATAGGCCAAAAGGACTTGAATCTTAAGTATAAAAGAAACGAGTACAATTAAGGCCCACGACCCTTAACACCACGTATGGTACAAGATAAAGAGAAAGATTTGCTGCACAGAAAAGTTCATCTTCCATACATGCCAGCTCTTATCTTTTAACATCTTACTTTAACCCCCATTTACCATTGATAAGCAGTATACAACCACTTGATAAAAAGTTTATAACACACCCTTATGTATAGCTATAAGGACATTTTAAACTTTAGTAATCTACAGTATCTGTCACCAATTATAAATCCTCCTGCGAAGGCATATTTGATATGATTACAACTGTGTTTTATTTTATTGTCATTCATTCTCCGTCTATACAGCAGCCTCCAGTTATGGGTGCTCATGAACACAACTACATCATAGTGTGTTAGAAACCAGTAGTTTTTCTTATTTTTCTACAATGTCCTCTCCATCTACAAGAGTATGTTGTTTTGTGCAGCATTTTTTATTTTCTGAATGCCGGTTGTCTTCTACCATAAATGTGAGGCCTAAAGGTCAACTCTATGTACTTCTCTTTACCTCTGTTGCCATTGGGAGAGCTGTCGGCTGCGTTGTCCTGAGACACTGCCGGCCAGCTGGACTCTTCCTCATTTGGTGACCCGTTCATGTTGGAGAACAGGAGGCAGGCATTTCTCCCCACAACACTGCCCTCCCTCTGAGACTCCACGTTGCTCTGTTCCTCTGCCACTCCTCTGGTATCACCTGATGTCTCTTCATCATCCTCTGATGTCTTTTCCTTCTCTTTGCCATCTTCCTCTCTCTCTTTATCTTTCTCTTCTGTAGACTCCAGAGTGTCAATGAGTAGCGGCTCATTAAGGATGTTCTTGGACTCCTCCTGACTGAGACCAGGGGTCATTGCTATTTTGGGAGACTTGGTCTGCTCCTCGTTTCCCTGTTGTTCTTCCTGAGTGGTGGTCTGTTGAGGGAAGTCTTCCTTGTTCCCATTCTGGCTGATATTGCAGTTGTGGTCCTGGTCCTGTTGGTTCTCGGACACTTTCCGCAGCTGGTTCTGGCCTTCTTTGAGCCACTTGGCATTATTGCCAGTTGACTCCTGGTCGCACCAGTGGCTGCTGTCATTCAGCTTGTTCTTCAGCTCTTCATCTTGTTTTTGTTTATTTACAACATACGACATATCTTCATCATCATGGCCACCCATGGTAACTTTCCATGTAACTGCTCTATTGGGAGAGAGAGAGAGAGAGAGAGAGAGGTTGGTTAGCATTGCCGTTAGCATGCTAGCTAACAGGCTAGCGATTGATATTGGTGAGATTAAGTCGAGTTTTTCTTTAGAAAACGATAAAACGTGCAGTGGCGGCTGGCTACGACTATACCCAGACGTGATAACGATGTCAATATCGCTATAAAATGCAAAAAGTGACATTCAGTGTTAAAGCTACTAGCATCATTACGATCCAAAAATTGAAGTCAGGTTCGTGTTCGATATTCCGGGTTGTCCATGACTACGGTTACTTTCACGGTTGGATTTTTCGGACGAACATGAAGCGTACTTCAGCAGCTTCACCTTACATTTGCCAACACGACCTTTTTTTTTTTTTTCCTCCTTTAGATCCTGAGCTCAATGTGGAGCCCGTCCGGAGCGAGTCGGCTCTGAACTACAACACAATGCTTAAAAAAGGTAACACTAAGCATACTGAGATACAGCGACGTGAATCGGGTTGCCCCCGCCGCAGCTGCACATAACGGGAGACCCATCCGCCATCATCACCGTCGTCATTTTGGCTAGGCTAACGTTAGCTCCTCGGCTAAGCTGGCTAGCGTTTCCAAAACACAGTAAAAATGCAAAAAACAAGCGCACTGACAGCGATTCACCAAACGTGTGCTAAGAAATTCGACTTACCAGCTTCCACTAAGCTTCCCCCCTTTTTTTGTTGTTGTCGAAATCGTCTGAATTGTGCGAACTAACTACATATTTCCATGAATCGTGCGGGCTCGCTCCGTTTCTAGGCGGTGTTTGCTGCCTGCGGGCTCGGCTGCTGATGGAGGGCGAACCTGCGTCACGGATCAACGTCACGGCCCCCACTGCGAGACAGGAAACTTGTGTAAGTAAAAACGACTTGTGCTACTGTTTTTGGACATATTGATCCGGTGCTGCACGTTTTACAGCTTCTTTCGCCGGTAGAATTATGTAAAATATGATATTTGATAGATATTAAGGTTAATGCAAAGGTTCTGTACCAACAGGAATATCTACTCCCAAAATAGCCTCTGGAAAACAGCTGCAGGGCATCTGGATCAGATCCCATTTACTATTCATGTACATTTTAAAGTATTTCATAACTGCTTACTTAAGTTTATTATTCAGAATTGACATTTATAACAGAAGATGACTCACTAACTTTGGCAGATGGCTCATTAGAAACCAGTGACACTTGTTTAATATTTTTATTTTTTAGACTTAATACCTTATTAGAAATTAAGAAACTATTAGTGGCTCACCAGCTAGAGATTTTTCACAACCTGGCTGTTGAAAAATTGTTCTTTATTCATCATATATGCAGGGTGACTACTTTCTTACTTTTTTTAATAGACGTGCCCAAAAGGGAAATGATAAAGTAACAGTAACAAGGTATAAAAGGTTATTTCTGGAATTTATTATTTAATTAATTCATTATTTTTTAGATTAATTTATATGTTTTAAGATGAGTAACCTAAACGCACTCATAAATACATAGAAAATAGATTAGGAATACACATTTATGTATGAAATATTGAGCTGAGATAATAATAATAATTTAGCTTGGGTATTCTAAAAATAATATATAAAAGGTGCTCTACTGTTTCAGTATTTGAAAATGTAATTTAATTTAATAAATCTTATTGATTAAAGGGATCATTTTCATTCACTTTAAAATGCCTCTCGCTTTAGAGCTAATGATGGTTAAGTAAGATGTCTATTATAAGATATTCTTATCCATCACTTCACTGAATATTTAACTTTTCAAAATTAAAATAAGCTGCTGGATAATATTCAATACTATTCAAAGGCCAGGATGAGCCTCCACATAAAGTTATTATTAAATTATTGTTCTTGCGTATTGCCATTAGTCAGTGATTGAATGACATTGGCCTGATATTGATGTTGCTTTGTAATGCTGATGTTTCACATCTCATAAAATTACTCATTTGGATTTCCAAATGATCCAATAATGTCCAACCCCCACCATAAATTCACACATTCAAGTTGCCCATATTTGTCCTTTTTAATATACTTATATATAAATACATACATTTGTATAAGTCATTCTTGATTTTGGCTTCAATCTGTGATTCTGCACAAACAAGCAAAGCTGGTGGAGGCACAGAAACAATGCACGTAGAAGTGACAACCCATGAGATTGATATAAAGTCAGAAGTCATCTAGAGGATCAAAACAACAAAGTGAGAAAATAATGACAGTTAGCAGGATGTGAATGCCATCCCCCTTAATGTCCCAGTCACCTTCTGCTGGCAGCAGCTTCTGATGTAGCCATAAACTTGAGGAAAAGCAGTCCCAATGCTTGAGAAGAAAACAATTATAGCCGTCCATGAATAAATTACAGTCTGGGTTGCAGTTGCAGACACTACAAAGTATTACATGTTGCATTACATAGATCGTCCATATTCAACATGAAAATAACACTTGAGAGTTAAGCAAACTGTTAAACATGATAAGACAAGATTTGAAGAGAAAATAATGAAAATAAACTAGATTACAGGAATACACTTGAGTAATCTAGTTAATGACATATTATTAAAATTATGAGGAGAAAATCAGCAATCTTGCAATGCATTTTTTTAAGTAATCCTCACAAAATTGCAATGATCAACACTGACATGTTTGCTGCATCAAACAAAAAGTTTCTATGGCCAGTTTTACATCATGGTCAGCAGGTTGAACAGGATACAAATCAGGAGCCAATGCCCAAGACAGGTCAAGCTCTACACATCACTACACAGCCAAGCTGAATGGTACAGCACTGCTAAGTACTCTCATTGGGAACACTCATTCATATACATTTTCTTAATCTTACATGTTTAAATGCTCGGTTTCAGACACTTGTCATGCTTGCCCATTTGCATACAGTTTGTTGCTGACACAACAAGCAAACTTTTCCCCACAAGACAAGCTTTGAGTTAATATGCTATTTGTTTTATTAGGAGCCACCTATATTTTTCCTTACAGGGTGACTTTTTAATAGTAAGCCCACTCCAGTTACAAAATAAGGCCTTAAATCCACTGAAGCATCGCAGCAGACTGTCATGCTGACCTCCACAGGTTATTCAGTTGAAGAAGATTGTACTCAGTCCACCTGATTACAGGTTAGAAGATGAACAGTCAATATTAAGCTCCTGCAGAGCCAGCATCAGGGGATCACTGACAAAGATGAAGACACAAATAAAATTTTATATCACATTGAAAAAAGAAAAAAAAAAAACAATATAAAAGAAGTGACTGCTGCTGAATTCATCTCAGAAGCAGAAGCTACAGTGGCGTCGAATGCAGCGGCAGAGTTTAAGGCAATACTGGTAAGCACCACACCACCATCTGGGGTAAAGATATCTGGTTCAGGAGGGCAGAGGAGGATTTTCACTTGTCCTGCATTTTTTCCAGGATTGGCACAATCATGTCAAATTTAGGCCTCTTTGCTGGGTCTTCGTTCATGCAGATCTTCATGAGCTTGCAAATGTGGGGTGAAATGCCGGGGGGGATAGTGGGCCTCAAACCTTCCAAGGCAACCTGAGAGCAAAAACAGACAGACGTTTGGTACTGTAGAAAAGATATTCCTGAATGCATTAAAGCTATGAAACAGATGATTTGCAAACATTTGCTACTCTGTTGGTAATCTAATGAGCCAAAGATAGCTCCGCTAACCTTCATGCCAATTTCCATGTTTGACAGGTCAGCATACGGCACTTCTCTGGTCACCAACTCCCACAGCAGGATAGCGAAGCTCCACATGTCTGCTGACCGACGGTTGATCTCTTCGGGCTTTTTCTGCAGGGCTGGAAATCACAAAGAGCAACAAGTGAAAGTCATGCAGAGCAAACACAATGAACTCCACCCAGGGGTTCCCAAGCTTTTCCGAGCCAAGGTCCTCCAAAAAGCATTAGTTTATGGCCGGGGTCCCCCTTTAGTAAAGTAAAAGTAAGGCCTAAACTTTGAAAAACCCTGAACTACACCTACTACCTTCTGCAAAAAAAACACTTCTGTTCAAGTACAAGTTTTCATTATTATGCAGTTATTCTATGTGTGGTCAAATATTCATCGATTGACAACCAGGGAACTGAACCTGTGGAACAAAATTATCACAAAACACAAAATCCTTCACATCATATACTTCAGTAATCATCAATTCTCCATGAGTGGTATCATAATCATAATACAGCGTGATCATGAGGAACTGCCTTTACAGTTTGCATTTGCTTTAGTAAACTGTGGTAAAATGTGACACTTGGCTGAAGAGGAGACGATGTAAAAGTGCTTGGTAACCATAGCATCCTCAGTAGAGTCCCTTAGGCTATATAGAAATAGATGGCGGTAAAGTGAAGTAACTTATCTCCGCTATGATGCAACTAATTTCACAAAAACAGCAGGTTTATAGCAGATAGCAGGAAACGGAGAAAAGTGGACAAGAGAAATGGAAATAGACTTATCAAATAAACCTTTTTCTATTTATCTCCTAAAATGTAATGTCACCTTGAATATATTTACTCAGTCTCCCTTTTTCTATATGAATCAACACAATGAAGTGAAAATATTCTATTGTGAGGGCTTGGCTAAATGAAAAAGAAAACAATGATAAAAAAAAAACTAGGGCTGTCATAGAAAAGTACTTTAGAAATTCCTCTGTAAGAAACCGGTTGTGGTTTGTTTTGTTAACAAAATCATATTTCATGAGTTAAGATACTATATTAAGATATAAAGATAAATATTATCATACTGTCCCAGCAATACCAGTGATTGACAACCCTCAGTGTCTGTGTATCCAAATTCAATCTAAAGCTCCTTTTTTTCCCACATGATTTAGGGATTTCCATCTCTTCCAATAGAAATAGTTTATACATAAATCTTGACATGACAACATACATTTATAGTTTAAATATTACAGAGAAATCCTTGCTGAAGATTTGAAGGCGTATTGTAATTCACCATAGCAAAATCTGTACGTTTGTGCCTTATCAATAGCAACGCTCTCTGTTTTCACTACCCACGCTCACTACCCACTATATGTATTACTGTATGGTTGTTTCTATGGTAACTGGTAAGCTGTATCCCACACAGTCCCGCCATTCTGCTTTATACACAACTTAAAACCCTTTCTGTGGGTTGCTGTTACTGTTTGCATCCCTGCTGCAAAGGTTCCCTGGTTATTTTCATATTCTGTAACCAGCTTATGTTTCAGACTTGCTCTGATTTTACTGTATCTCAAAGGGAAATCAGCTGCAGATTAAATTTAGTTCAGAGACAGTGCAGAGTCCCTGCATCCATCATTCACGCTGGAGCTTGAGTGGTTCCAGCTGTCACTGTGGATCTGTGCTGTATGAGTGATGCCTACCCTCGGGGGCTACCCAAGCAGGCGAGTACATCCTGCCAGGACACTGGAAGGAGAACTTGACGTCTGCCATGCTGATCCTGGCTGTCATATCTTCATCTATCTGTGGAGACAAGGAACACTGACTGAGATGGGAACGAACATCACTTTCATTTTCTGCAGTTTTCTTTTTAGGCGACACAATTTTCTTTGATCCTTATGATCCTGAAAGCTATGCTGAAACCACACTTCTTCTTACCATGACGCTCTTGCTGTTGAGATAGTGGCGAGGGATCATGGGTTCAAGTGTGTGTAAGAAGGCCATTCCACAAGCAATGTCCAGAGCAAACTTCACCGCCTGCGTCTGGTCCACTACAAAGTCTGACAGCAGGATGAGTGACAAATCAAAACAGGTTTCAGCCACCCGTACTTTCACCACATAACAGGATGACAGTTGCTGTACA